GCAATTTCGTCTGCTTTCCCGCACAACACTCATTTACTGGTAAACATAATGGCTCGTATAAACTAAGAAAAGGGCGGCTGGATACCGTTGTACTCCCTTTTTACACCAAGTCTTTTTGCTCTTCGACACAGCCGATTCACGAATCGTCTCCAACCAATTTTTCTTTTAAACTGTAACTGTAACTCGCCTTTTATGCACGCATGCCCATTCGGTTGGAGAAGGCGAGTGGAAGGAATTCATACATTCATATCACACCGCAACATCGAAATGGGAACACATTCTATGCCCACTGGAGCAATCTTGCCTTCGAGGCAATCCTCCCGCGGGGCGATTCACGAATTGGCAAAGTGTTGCCAAATCATGTTTTCTCTCTTCAACATGAGCAGTCATGAGTCACACAAAAGTGTGATTCAGTTGGGTTGAGGATCAATTTGGGCTTTCGACCAACATTTCCCCGTCCGGATGGGTCAGCCACTGGCCCACCGGGGTCACCGAGCCGTCCAACCGTCGTCCAGTATCCGTCGGCCCGACTACCACATGCGCCGCCCATTCGCCTGGCAACATCGATTGGGACAAAAGGTGGACTGCACCAGCGACAAGTGGGGGCCATGGCGGACTGGCAGCACAGGTTTTGAGTGATGCTAGGTCGCAATACCTGCAATTAGACAGGCCATATTGTCAGTGTTCACAGCCAAAAAATCTGTACCTCTCGGCCATTGCGTCGAGACGGCAGCAACAATTGCAGTCATCAGTCAAGGGGGTGATTCGCGTCAGAGGGGGGGGGGCGGAGAGGTGAAGGGGGATCCTGCGCATGCTCCGGCCTCCAACTCAGTCGTTGCTGGGTCTGTACTATTCTGGCCTGCTCTAGCCCCGATGGAAGCCGGTAATTAAGAAAACTTGTAACACGATACCTGTTGATGCGTTTAACAATCACACACACACACACACACACACACACAAACACACACATGCAGTTGCATAAACGAACACACAGCCTCAGGCACACAAGTAGGCAGTCTCCCGCAGCATTGTTACAAATGTCTCGGCAACAATTGATTTTCTGCAATGAAAAGGGGTTTATTAGAACGCGCTTTTTTGCACCTGTTCCCGTCCAGCTACCCGTCTGGCCTTTATCGCCGAGGGACGGTGTTTTATGCTTTATGCTGTCCCCCAAAAGAGCATATGATGTCCGGTATAAAGTGGAGAGTGGGGCACAAGGGTGACAAGGAAAGAGCACATTTTAGCGGTCTTTTTCGGCATGCTTGCTGGCAGACCATCATCGCAATTAGCCAAGGCCTCGGCGCCGCTGCGAGGTGAATCACACTTGCTCAAGAGCACGCCACCTCGGCCGAGGCCGGCTCGTCTGCCCACTTCAGAAGGGCCGGCTGAGTCGAGTAGACTCTGCACCTTCTCGCCGATGACCGGTCGAGTAAGCATCGGGTGCACTCGAGTGGACTACTTAAATTCGAAATAAGTAGGCTGTTAAGGCTAGATTTCACCAGCTAGTCGGTCCGATTGGCGTTGGAGGTGTTGGTGAGATCGAGGCGAGATGCAAGCTGCGGTTCAGTCTGGCCGGAGTGAAATAAAAAATAATCGCCTAATCTGAAAGTTGTGGGAAAATTCATCGTCAGACACTTTCTCCAATTAAAACGAACTAGTCGAGTGTTGAAAAAAGCCTTCACGAGAGCTGTACAGACCTGGCCAAAGAGGTCGTGGGCTCGAGACACTTCGGCTCGCTTGAGACGACGAAAGAAAGAGCAGGATCAAATGATCACAGCACCCCATGACACTTGGCCTAGTCTCCAAGACGACTGGGAGTACCAGTTCGACATCAAGTAAGTGCAATTATGTCGCATAGCCCCGAAGGCCAGTGGCCAAAATCCACAGGTCAAGCAATCACTTATAGTGGGATAAGTGATGAGATAAAATATTTCTACTTTTCTCTACAATGTTATACCAACTTATTTGGCCTATGTCGATAAGGGTGAAGTGAGGACTGATAGTTGAGTGTTTCCACTCAACTTATAGTTGGAAAACTCAACTGTAGGAACTAAAATCACCGTATGAGATCCAGGCTGACTAAGTTCTCGTTCAAGAAGTAATGATAGTCTCGAAAAATATTCATAGCAAAAATAAATATGAGATGTATTCACCCAATTTCGTTTAAGGTGATGAAGGATTGGTAAAAGAATTTTCCCACAATGAGATGACGTTTCCGTTGAATTTCACATATATGCGAAGAAAAGTTGGGTTTCGAGGAATCTCTCGTTTCACAATTGTTGAGTTTACTTCCATTTCGAGAGATTCGAAGGTCGGTTCCACCAGGAGACGACGGCAGATTCCTCTTGACCAGCTGTCGATTGGCTTAACTGTAACATTCATGTTGAAACTGTTTCCGAGGTAATCTCCTTGCGCAATCGGAGTGATGGTTACAACTTAAATGTAGAAAGGGGGAGAGATGGGTGATCAAATCTTGATGGCCAAAAACAGAAGTTCCTTTTTGCTGTCCTAATTACTTTGAGTCATCACTGCGGGTTTCGTGCATAAGCAAACACAAACAGGCACATGCACATGCAGAGACAGACACACTCACATGCATCGAAGTTGACATATGACCGTAACTAACCGAATCACTTTATACTTGATCAAAGAGGCCAAATGTAGAGCATATATACCACTTTTTAGGGATTTGCCGGTGAGTTTTCTTGACTCATTAGCTTGAAATTGGTTGTGAAGATGATACCTTGCTCTGATGATGTTCGTCAAATGACGGACGAAAGCTTAGCACCTTTTCACCGGAATCGAAGGAGATTGCTTCGGAAACAGCGTCAGCATGAATCTTCCAGTAAAGCCAATCGACAGCTGGTAAAGAGGAATCCGCCGTCGTCTTCTGGTGGAACCCACCTTCGAATCTCTTGACCCAACACTTTCACTCGAAATTGAAGTAAGCTCAACAATTATGAAACAAAAGATTCCTCGAAACCCAACTTTTCATCGCATATATGTGAAATTTAACGGAAACGTCAGCTCTATTCATATCATTGTGGGAAAATTCTTTTTCTACCAGTCCTGCATTACCTTAAACGAATTTGTGTGAATACATCTCATATTACTGATTTATTTTTAGTCTCGGAACAATACTTAAATGCGAAAAATAAAAGTGTTGGGCGCTCACTTCCCTTTCGAATGAAAGTATGTGATAGAGAGATACGATGAAGGAGCTCATCAGAAGATGACGGCAAATTGGTCTTGGCGAGCTATCGGTTGGTTTTACTGGAACATTCTTGTTGATTTACCGACTTATCCCTAAATACCGCATACTCACCCTGTATAAAAACTTTTTGATGTGGTATGAAGTGATTTGATTATTTCAAATCACATGTAAATCTAGAATCATGTGTGCGTGTGTGTGTGTGATTATGTGTCTATATGTGCACGTATATGTGCAAAACCAGCAATGATGGCTCAAAGTAATTGTAGGAGATGTATTCACCCTATTTCGTTTAAACCGATTAATGACTGGTAGTAGCATTTTCCCACAACGATATGAGTAGAGCTGACACTTCCATTGAATTTCACATTGCCTTGCTTTCCCAAAAGAAACTGCAGTCCACCCTGGATGAGAACAACTTTTGGGAAAGCAAAGCTATGTGAAATTGAATGGAAACGTAAACTATATTCATATCATTGTTGGAAAATTCTACTACCAGTCCTTCATCACCTTACACGAAATAGGGTGAATACATCTCATATTGCTTGAATATTGCCTACAAACAATAAACAATACTGCATAATCGAGCATGCGGTCGATGCTTTCTGTTAACGCTTTAAAGAATGTTACTTATAAGTAGTATTTTAAATTTAGATTTTAGGTTGCTGCTTCGTAAATGGCGCTTTAATAAAAGTTTGGAAGTTTGTGACTTTGAGTGGGACTTTCAGCTGATGCTTTAAACTTTGTTCTTTGAGGGCAGTATTTTAAATTGAGCTCTTCAAGTTGGTGCTTTATAAATGGTGCGTTTTCATGGGTGTAAGGGTTAGTGGATTTGAAGTAGTGCTTTCGGTTAATGCTTCAAAATCTGTGCTTTTTAAGTTATATTTTCATTCAAAATGTTGAGGTTGGTATTTTGTAAGCGGTTTAAGCTGTCGTCTTGATGTTGGTGTTTGTTGAGTATTGTTTTTAATTGAGACGTTCAGATTGGCGAATTCATTAGTCGTTTTGATGATGGTAACTAATAAATGGGATTATTAATGAGGCATGCATGTTAATGTTTTTTTAAATGGCGTTGTCATTTGATGGTTGCAAGTGGTACTTCCACTTGAGGTGTTAAAGTCGATGCGGTGTAAATAGTACTCTTTAAGTGTTGTGTCATGACTCTCCGTATAGAATGGAAAGTTGGTGGAAATGAATTCGTGATGTGGCCTCACAGGAAATCGAAAGAGGATTGCCGCGTAGGGAAGACTGCTGAATTGTGCGAAAAAGTCGTCGGTTCACCGTCCTGCCACCCCGATGAAACTGTGTCATGCTGTCGTCGGTACCACCGTGACAGACATCATCACCGCATGAATCTACACTTTACGAAATAAAGCAAACGTATGCTAAACCAAGAGAAATGGTGCCAGCCGTCTATTTCGTATATTTTTGCTCTTTTTCGTGGTACAGACAGGAGCTTAGCACAGTTTCAACAGCGTCGCAAGACTTCTTAGCACAATTCAACAGTCCTTCCTACACAGCAATCCTCCTTCGGTTTGTGATGAGACGACATTACGAAGTCATTCCAACCAACTTTCCCGTCCACAAGGAGAGTCATATCACAATATATCACTAAGGCAGTATTCGAATCCCAGCTTTTTTTCATATCTTCATAAATTTTGTTTCTAATTGAGCCTTTCAAGTCGGCGTTTTATTAATGTTGGTTTCATTTGAGGTTTTTCGGGCGGACACTTTTCAGTGTGGCCTTCAGGTGAAGTTTTCGAGTTGCTGCGTCTTGATTGGTGCTTTCACTTGTCGTCGTGCCATTTGATTGTTGGGCTGCAGGTTGGGCTATAAACTCATCTTCATTGTCACGACCAAATGGAAATCTGTGGTTAGACGGCGCAGAAGCCTGCAGACATGACTAGACATGAGCTGTGTGTGTGTGTGTGTGTGTGTGTGTGTGTACCAGGGCGTGAACACACGATTGGCGGTGGGCTAAGTATGAAACCAGCAGTTGGGCTATGATTGGATGGGTTACGGTAGGCCATAAATTGAGTGAGATGACTTCTACTGAGAGGGAAACACGTCTCGGATCCGAATGACGCAGCCCTGGCCCACAGCCCTGCATGGGAAAAATGGTATGTGGCCGAGAGTCACAGTTGTCCTGATCCTCACACAATGCTTCTGCCACGACGACAAAGGGGCCGGGGTACAATGGGCATTAGTTTTCAGCCAACACATCTTGTCGCATTCACCCAAGCCAGCACGATGCCTGCACTGGCAAGTGTGAGTACACACGGTCAAGATGAGCTGGCGTATATTAATGCATACACACACTCATATGTGAATGCACATTTATTTACCCATACAAATGGGCGTCTTTTATGCGTACACTTGAAAATGTTCATACATTTTCACTTGGCACACATGCACATTAAATGCATATTCGCATGTTGTGATGCACATGCATGCATGCACATAAGTGGGTTTCGCCTTTGGGTCTCTTGTGCGCCTGGTATCTCGGCCAGGGGCACAGTTGTGTTGGCTTAGGAGGAGATGATCATAAACGGAAAGAGGGAATTTAGTATGGAAGGGAGAGAATAGGATAAATGTAAGGGTAGACTGGCTCTGAGGGAATGGGGAATAAAAGAAAATGAGGGGAGGTTTTGGACCATGGGAGTAAACTCCTATTTTGGCAGTGGGATGGTAGAGACAGAAAGGACACAAAAAGAGCCAATGTGCATTAAATGTCAGATACAGAATAGGCGATGGCGAGTCGTGTTTGAAACTGGACTGGAGACAATAAGACCAATTACTTGAAGATGCTCACCTTTGCAGGCTTTCGTGTCTACTCCAAGTGATTAGCCAAACAGCAGGGCCACAACATTTTACTTTGGCCTACAAGAGGTACAATGCTTTCATACTCATTCTTTCATACTCAAGTAAGGTACAATTGGCTTCGATTGCTCCTGACACGAGGCAGTCTCTCCCGCATGATTGTATTGCGTATGGTGGCATTCAGCACATTGTTGCCGGTAGCGAAAGGAGAGGAAAAACAATGTAAAGTGGAAGTGGGTTGACCTCGTTTTCGCAACTTGGTCTTGTTGTCAGGGCGACTATGTAGAACGCACCTAGTCCGAAGTCGTATGCGATAGTAGTTGTCATGATTGCCAGCATCGGACAGTGGACTTGGTACATTCTCAGACGTTTCGCCGGCATCGTTATCGGTATCATCAGTGAGATTTGCCGTTGGCCGCACCAAGCGACGAACTCGTCAAAGAGACAAGTGAAGTCAATCCCTCGACAACCGTTCTGCCGGAAACGGTTACAATATCACTCCTCTTTCTGTCATTGTCTATCTATCCACTCTTTACCCTCTTATCCCACACCCGCAACATCACATATTCACACTTGCTATTCACCCTGACCCCCTCTCTTTCGATCGGCTGATCCGAGTCGGGCTTCCAATTCGGATCCTTTCATTGTCCCGTAGATCCGTTCCTTCTCTTTCTGGTTGACCGATTTCACTCGGTTTCACTTCAGGTGCTATTTCTCAAGGCTCTAGAAGCACGTACATTTCCGCTTCACTGAG